CTATAAACTTTCTCATCAAATTTAAACGCTTTAAGATGAACAGCTCTGACGAGGATTTTCTGTTATTTGTTTCTGTTATGTAATTTTTTGATAAATGCATAGGTTCCTTTCAAGTTAATTAAAAATAATTAAACAAATTATCGTTTTTTTTTAAATTTTTGTTATTATCTACCTGATATGAAGCTCGTAGGAAAAATGTTGTTCCTAACACGTGCGCAAAGTGTCTTTTCCGCACGCAAACACGTATCCGAACTCCGCTTCGCGTCGTTCGTATAACTGTGTTTGCGTGCGGAAAAGTAACACTTTGCGCACTTGTTAGGAAAATAACTATTTCGAAACCTTTACACATTGAGGACTATTTAAAATTATTTCTTAAGGGTCGGATTTATACAGGGTTCCAACTATTTCATAGGGACAGCGCATAGGTTCCTATTTCGGAAACGGTTAAAGCGAGGGTTAAAGTTACGAGGGCGTTTAAATTAGAAAAAAATTGCTATTTTTGAAGAATGTAAAAAATATAATACCTACTTTTGAATTTTAACTAGGTCTCTAAAATCAATAGATTTTAAAATATTTGATAAAATTGTTTTTGCAAATTTTCAAAAATCACCCTGTTTTTGTGAAACTATTAGAAATTTGGCAACAACGAAAATATTTTTCTAATATTTTTCAAAAATGACAACTTTTTTCTAATTTAAATGCCCTCGTAACTTTATCCGATTTCGAGACAGCAATACTGTCCCTATGAAATAGTTGGGACCCTGTATAACAACTAATTGACTAAAATCTTCATTCAAACAATTTCTATAGTCAGGGTTGTAGTCTAGGCGTTTTACTACAAATTATGTAGGCTGTAGTGAAGGCGGTTTTTGTGTTTTATTTAGAACAATCGACTTTGAGAAACAAATACCCTTTGGAAGTCTATTTTTGTCTGAAAGAAAGTGGAATTTTAGTGATTATTCCACTCATGTTTTCTGATTTCAATGATAAAAGTTCGATAGGTTTATCTGTAATAGTTTTCGGGAAAGAAAATTATTTCGGTTTTTGTCATAAGAAGTAATGTGTAAGAAAAGGACTTTATATCTGTAAGGAAACTGAGAAAGGTCTCTTTCTAACTCATTGTTTCTTATGACAAAAGCCGAAATATTTTTTTTCTCGAAAACTGTTAGAGATAAACCTATCGAAATTTGTATCATTGAAATCAGCAAAAGCAGAGCTTTCTAATGAACTATTAATATATAGGGTGTCCCATTGAAAAAAATCGTATTTTGGTCAATATCTTGAAATCGAGACCGAATAGAAAAAAACTGAAAACGTCACTGAATTCTGATTGAAAAAGTGCTTCTAGGAAGTTTTTACGGAAATCAGTTATTTTCATAAACAAAAAAGTTATGAAGATTTCACAGTATTGCTCAAAATCGAGAATCGCCCTCTAGCGGCTAAACAGTTGAAGATATCAAAATGCGTTTTGCACCAATCAAAATTTCAAGAAATTTGAGCCTCGGAGAGGGAGGTTCATTTTTTTGTATCTCGCTCAGAAATTGCCGTTTCCTATTAAAACCATCCAAATTCGGACACCCTGTACATTATTCCCATATGACACGAGAGGCTTAACAAGTGATAAGCCTTTTGGGATTATCGCGCTTGGTGGCATTTATGTCAAATTCTATAATAGATTTTTTTTTAAATTTTAAAGTATTGAAGTTTAGTTTGTTGTATAACCTTTTGAATACCACTCGATGTTTCAGGATTACCTAATACTTTTACCCGACACTCAACGCGTTACCAGCAACACCACTCCTCCTTCGGAGTCGTGGTGTTGCTGCGTAACGCGTCTCGTGACAGGTAAAAGTATTATCCGGTAATCCTGAAACCTCTTGTGGGATTACATTCGATAATTCTCCCATGTTATTGTATACATGGTTGTCATGCTAATTTTTGATACAAGCAAACGGTTCCTGATAGCAACCATTTATTTGTATTGATTGTTAAGATGTTCAAATCGTTTAATACATATTTATTTTCATATTTTTTGCATTCTCATACGTGGAATAATCCTCTAAATACCACTTGAGCCTTAAAATGAATCAGATAATTTTTCACTCATGCGTGTTTTCCCCGTTTATTCCACTCATGTGTTAGAAATCCCATAAGACAAGTGAAGATTTTCAGAATTACAGCGAAAATTCTCTTTTCCATTTGTTTAACTAGAGAGAATTACAGCGATAATTCTCCCATGTTATTGTATACATGGTTGTCATGCTAATTTTTGATACAAACAAACGGTTCCTGATAGCAACCATTCATTTGTATTCATTGTTAAGATGTTCAAATCGTTTAATACATATTTATTTCCATATTTTTTGCATTCTCATACGTGAAATAATCCTCTAAATACTACTTGAGCTTTAAAATGAACCAGATAATTTTTCACTCATGCGTGCTTTCTCTGCAAATTTCACTCGTCCTACGGACTCGTGAAATTATAGAAAACAGGCAATCGTGAAAAATTATCGGTAATTTTGAAGCTCTCCTGGTATTATCCCCGAACATTCAATTTTGCAACTGCAATATTTTTCACACAATATGACGTATTAAGTATAATAACTTTAAATTAGTCGAATTCAATCTCTCAAATGAAACATTACTTTACAATACAGGGTGTCCTTAGATAAACTGACACATTTTGTAGGTAAATATTTCGAAAACGGGAAAAGATAACGAGATGCGGTTTGTTCTGGGAGAATAGGGATTTTTTAAAGTTTTTTTTCACATTATTGCCGAATCCTGAAAGTTGTTGAAATTTGGTTCTACAGACATGCGATTTTTTGAAATAAAATGACTGCCTGATTTTTAATGAAACACCCTGTATATTTTGTCATCAACAGAAAGTCTGATTTTTCTACTTTACAAAAATGTATAATTTTTTTCTATTATCTTGAGCTTGCATCGTGAAAATTGCACTTTGTCGAAGAGAATAACATCGACTAACCAAAAAAAATTGAAAATTAATTTGTGTTTAATACTTTTATTAACTAATTAGCGCATAGTTAACTAATAATACAAGTAATAAACACAAATAAGTGCATATAAAACACAAATTAATTATTATAATTTTTTTTTTGGCCAGTCCATGGTACACTCTGCAACAAAGTGCAATTTTTACGATTCAATTTTATGATAATTGAAATAAATTATACATTTTTGGAAAGTAGAAAAGTCATACTTTCTGACGATGAAAAAATATACCGGGAGTTTCATCAAGAATGAGGCAGTCTGTAATTATTTCAAAAAATCGAATGTCTGAAAAACCAAATTTCAGGATTCGTTAATACCATGAAAAAAAACTTTGAAAAATGCTTGTTCTTTCAGAACAAACCGCATCCCGTTAGCTTTTCTCGTTTTCGAGATATTCACCTGTAAAAAATGTGTCAGTTTATCTAAGGACACCCTGTAGTATATTGTGTGATTAGGTGGAAAATTGTCACATTCTCGGCCGATGGTGTGATTGGCGGGCGAGGCGCAGCCGAGGCCGGCAAACACCGAAGGCCGAGAATGTGCTTTTCCTCCGAAATACACATACTATTTTTTCTGCGATCGCTCAGTAATGAAGAAAAATAGACATTTTTTTGAAACAATGAGAAATGGTATTTGGTATTTTTATATATGTATTATTAGTTAAGTTAATCTTTGATATTTAATTTTAAATATACCTACAAAAGTACTTCAAAAATGTATGTTGTGTTGTTCCTAAAAAGCAGTACAGGAATCACTTTTTCCTACGACTGCCTCTGAAAATGGAGTTTTTCGCACGCTAGGCAATCTCTGAAATTAGAGTTTTTTTTTGAATTAAAGTTTTTCACACGCATTTTAGCGTGCGAAGAAGTTTTTCACACGCTCCTCAGCGTGCGAAAAAGTTTTTCACACGCTTCAAGTTTTCTAACAAATGGAAATCACATATTTGGTTGTTTTATTTTGCAGTTGTAGGAAAAGCATTGTAAAAAACTCGTTTGAAAACCTTTTTTCACACTTGCTCGACTTGTGGAACTCGCCTACGGCTCGGTCCAACAAACTGTCTCGCTGTGCGAAAAAAGTCGTTTTCAAAACTTGTTGTTTAAAGAACTTTTTCTACTGACGTTTCATAATAGCAACTTTTCGATTGTCATTTCAGTTTTGAAACGACATTCTTTTAGGCACTGAGTGCGTGAAAGTTACTTTTAGGCACTCAGTGCGTAAAAGTGACTTTTGAATGCGTAAAAGTGACTTATGAGTGCGTAAAAGTAATTTTTAAGCACTAGTGCCTAAAAGTGTCATTCATTATTCAGAAATAAAAAACACACTAAACACATATTTGAATTTTGTTTTGTATTTATTATGAATATTGAAAATGGAATTACTGAATTGAACGTTTGGGTTACTCAAAACAGAAGTTTGTGTTATTACCTACTTTCTAGGATTTTAATTATTGATGTCGAATTTTGAAAAGAAAATCGCATGAAAAGTGTCAGGTGTCAAGTAAAAGCAGGTAACAAAGATTTTGGGTGTAATCGACTTATTCACATGAAATAAAATTGTGTTTTTTTATTATAAAATGCCAGTAGAAAAAATCTTGTATACAATACGTTACGAAACGATGTCTTTTAGTCACTCGACGTGTTGTCCAACTCGGCTTTGCCTCGTTGGACAATTTTCACGTCGCGTGCCTAAAAGACGCTCATTTCGTAACTTATTGTATAAATAGCTAATTCCGTAATGCTGCCAGTCCATGAAAGTGGTTCCGTACTGTTTCATTTATTGTTTCCATAGCAATAATTGAAACAATTAAAATACCAGAGTATTGAGTTTTGTGGCCTGTCAGCCAGTCGAAAATGTTGACATTTCTTGTCAATCGCAGAAAAAAATATTTTTAATTGAAAGTGGAAAAAAAAATGCCCAAATTCAATAAACTTTCACCAAGTATTGGCTTAATAACTTAATGTAATGCTTCTATTCTATTTCAGAAAAAAATGGATGATTTTGTAATGAATTATATCGATGATGATGATCTTACTGAGGAGGAATACAATTCTGGATTTTATAATGGTAACCGTAAGTACCTAACACATACCTAGTTTCTTGCTCAATTTTCTTTTAGTCGATGCTCAATAATTGAGTTCTCATTGCAATTTTTTTATTTTTATCTATTCACATCAGAGTCCTTATTCTAGAAACAGGGGAGCAGCGTTCCCAGGAAAACGAGTGTTCCGTCTTTCTCAATGATATGCAAATGATAAGTAATAAAGACGGAACACTCGTTCTCCTGGGACTGCTGCTCCCCTGTTTCAAGAATAAGTACCCTGATGAGAAATAATCATTACATTTTTTTATAGTCAAGGTTGACCCCGACCAATTTCTGACAGAAAACAAAGATGTGCAGAATGGACTGTATAGTTTCAACAACCAGCTACAAGATTCAAAAGCTTCCAATCAGTTTCAGCAAAATTTGGGACAAGGGTAAGTGTCGATTTTTGAATTTCTACTTGAAGCCATGAAATTTGACTCAGGTTTAAAAAAAATTAATTTTTGATCAACTCTATCAAATATCAAACAAATAATTTGTCGCTTATTATTTAAACAAAGTGACATGGTAACTGGTATAGACCTTTTTAGGGAAGACCTCAATATAATTACCTCAAATCGGCTACGTACGTATTGTCTGGCTAGCCAAACGGCGAACTGCATTAGAATTTGCTGCTTTGCCAAACTTCACGGAAACAGTAATAAACAAGTTGGTGACATTTTTTGTTTGTTATATGTGCATGTGTAGAATTTTGAAATGGAAAAAATCCGGCAACATTGCGAAATGATGGAGGTGGAGAGGCGTGATTATTCAGAGGCATGATTCTATTGGTTAGATCCTAAGGTTAGAGCCTGAACGACAGCACAGTGGCGTGGTTATTGTCGAAACTTCTAATAATTTTATTGGTTCGTTTCCTCAATGTTTTCGGTGCCACTGAACCCAAAGACATGGCTGTCATCAAGCGGTGTCAGTTGAGGTGTCAGTAAATACTCTTAGGTTACGCCCCACTTTTCTTCCCCCTTTCGTCTCTATCAACTTACCACTTGCCAGACTATAGTATGGACACTTTCCAAATTTCACCGATAAATTCACCGGTTAAATAAGCCAGTAGCTGTCAAAAAAATCCGGTAAAAGTTAGTAGTCTATACTATATCCATGGAACCAAAAAAGCGGGCCAAAACACTTTCCGTGCGTGATCGAAGCATGATCGGCACGTGGCTTTGCATCTATTGGGCTAAAATAAACAAACCCCTCACGCTGGCCAATCGGATTTACCTGCAATCTGTAGAGGACTTCCAAGGTAGGGGAACTTATTGCTTTTGGCCTAATCGTTACAGGGTCGGAATGGTCATTTACGTTTTAACGATCGGTGGTGTTACATTTTACCGGATATTTAGTAGTGATTTTTTTTATTAGTTTTAAAGTTTTAAATTATTAAAATGTCGGATGAAGAAGCTGCTAATATGTGTTTCAACACTCCACCTCAAAAGAGACCAAAAAAAGTGCCTTTCAATAGTAATGAAAAAAATTTAATTATGAACATTTACAAAAATGAAGTCGAAGCAAATCCCGAATTGTTAGTTGATGAAATCGTGCGAAAAGTAGGAAACATTGCTGGAGTGTCTCCAAGTGGTGTTTATGCCGTTATGAGAGAATCTGAACAAAAGCAATTATTTTCGGATTCAAAGCCATACCCCTTACGAAAGAAAATTATTGACAAGGTAGACGATTTTGATAAAAACGCTATCAGAAGGAAAGTACATCAATTTTTTTTCCGGAACCAAATGCCAACAATAGATTCAATTCTCAAAGATGATCCTGATCTACCAGATTTCAAAAGGTCGACATTCCACAAGTTGAAAGAATTAAGTTTTAAATTTAAAAAAAGAGGGAGAAATAGTTTGTTGCTCGAGAAACCAGAAATTGTATTGTGGAGACGAGATTATTTAACGAAAATACGGGCCTATAGAAGAGAAAATAGGAAAATTTACTACCTGGATGAAACGTGGGTGAACGCAGGCCACACTAAGTCTAAAATTTGGGTTGATGAATCCGTAGGTTCTTCAAGGCAAGCCTTCTTAGATGGCCTCTCAACTGGGTTAAAGAACCCATCAGGTAAGACCTTATTAAACTCTTAACCTTAACGTGTGTGTCTGTGAACAAGATAATTTGCATTTAGATTAGGTATTGATTTACAATTTGGTATAGTCTATTTCATTGCTGTTGATAGCAAAAATCGAGGATTAGGGCCATAAAGTAATTGTATTCTACTTGGTTTACAATAACTTTATGGCCTAAACCTCGATTTGTAGGTACCAATACCTATTAGTAAGCGATGGTCAAAAAGGGTCTAAAATTACTTGTTGGCTATGAAAAATAGACCCACAGTATGTATCTACCTGTGTATTTTCCAAGAAAGTTTATTATTAATTATTTTCTGTATTCATTAAAATCGTAGAGAATTGGAAGGGTTTCATCTTACCGTTCGATCAATTAGTTAAAATTCAGGTAACAACGAAAATGTGTTGGTATAGTATGAAATTTTAAGTATGTCTTTGGTAACTGGTTTTCGATTATTTGTGTTTGGTTGGACACGATTAAATCAAAAATTGTTTTTGTCTGCCTCGCAGCACATTTTATTCAGGAAATAGTCCAAAAAATATGTTTTATGCATGTAAATATTCTGTTTCAACTAAAACAAAATAAATCTTGTTTCAGGAAAAGGAAAAAGGTTGATAGTGTGTCACATAGGAAGCGAAACCGGGTTTGTACCCGATGCCTTGTGGGCCTTTGAGTCGAAGAAAACGGGCGACTATCATGAGGAAATGGACGGCAAATCGTTTGAAAATTGGTTTACCAACATAATTCCAAACCTAGAAGAAAATTGTGTAATTGTTTTAGACAACGCCCCATACCATTCAAGAAAAGCTGAATAAATTCCAACTACAGCCACAAAAAAAGCCCTAATTCAAGACTGGTTGCGTTCGAAAAGTATACCATTCGAGGATAGCATGATAAAAGTACAACTTTTGCAGAAAGTGAAGGAACATAAAACCAAATATAATAAATACATTGTCGACGAAATTGCTAAAGCACATAATAGAGTAGTATTACGTCTTCCCCCTTATCACTGCGAGCTCAACCCAATAGAGCTTATTTGGGCGGACATAAAAAACTATGTTGCAAACAAAAATGTTACTTTTAAATTTTGCGATCTTAAAAATATTTTCAGTGAAGCTGTTTTGTCTATCACTGCTGAAAAATGGAATAATTGCGTAGGACATGTAAAAGATAAGGTAGAAGTGAAAATGTTAGAATTAGATCACATAGCTGATGAATTAGTTGATAGAAATCCGATAATAATTAATCCTAATGAATCTTCTAGCAGTTCTTCGGATTCTGAGTAACTGGACTAAAATGACAAAAGTATTTATTATTTTATCATTATTTTTTATTATTTTTGCGCTAGTATTAAATAAACATAATTTTGAAATCGAAAACTGTTAACCCGTTTGTCAATTGTCCTCCTAAAATAGAAATGTCCCCATTTTTTTGTACTTCATTAAATGTTATATGTATATACAAAATGGTTTTTGTTTTTCTTTATTAGTTAACCTTTGAGTAATTTTTCCATACCTAGTCGCATATTAGGTATTTAATAAAATTTGATAAAATTTCGATGGTCCCTAAGTGCGAGTGCGACTCTGTACAAGCACATCTGCCCAGGCCTCGCCTGAGGGATCACGTGCACTATGCATGACAATGTTTTGGTGCACTCCGTAGCTTCGTTGGATTTAGTATAGTTATTTACCTGATTTTTCTGATGCATTTTAGAACGCTTTGGTGTGTTAAAGTTTTGGTTGTGTTGTTTGTTGTTTAAATGTATGGTGGTGTGATGTGAGGTGCAGTAAGGTTGGTACCTATTTGTTTTTATTATTTTTAGCAGTAAACAAACGGTAGTTTTCAGTATGATTTTTGAAGATTATTTGAGTTGAGTGTTTGGTTGGTAGAGTTCATAATCAATAAAGATTAAATTGTAAATTATTCACGCACACACACACAAACATTTTTGCATTCTGCCATCTGCAAGCAAAAATTTAATGAACGACTGCCCTAATGCATAGTCAAAGTACTAAATTTACATACGTCAAAACAAAAGTGTTAAAAACTTTTTTTTTTTCCAACCCAAAGAACCGACAAAAATTCCCGGTGGATTGGGTGCCTCACCGGTTTGAAACAGCTGATCATTCCGGTCAATTTGGGAACGGACGATTCAACCGGTAAAAAGTTGGTACATTTTGGAACGGTTTGGTGAGTAAACTATTAAACCGGTTCAGAAACCGGTGAATTTCGGCAAGTGCCCTATGTGTAAAAACACAGTGCAAGCCGGTTTCCGCTTAGAGTCCGCGTCAGGAGTAAAGAGTACCGTGTCGTCATATGCGCACAAACCCAATTTTGAAGACTAACCGAACTATCGTATCCAACGGTGCTGCTGCCGAACGCCAAGCACGTGGTTCATTGTCGTACGGCCAGCAGGCATATTTATTTAGTTTATTTAGTATCCAAGTTTTGTCTAAAAAGATACCCCTCTGCTGGTTTCAGCTCACGGCGGAGGTCACGGCAGACAGCGAGAGATAGACGAGGGAGAGAGATCCGACCCGCTTCGCGCAGCTTTTTATGTCGTCACCGTAGTCTTAACTGCTGACGCGGACTCTACCGGTAACCAGCGCCGACTCGCGCTTATAAGCGCGAAAAATGAATGCATGTTTTTAAATCGGCTAGTACACAGTAAAAAGCAGGTAGAGACGTTCTCACTTTAACCGGAATGAAAATTTAGTGTATTTCCGCTTTTGCACGCATCGCGGCAGAGTCTTTTCAGTTCGTCTGATGGATAAGGAGTTACTGATAGCTACAATTTTTGAAAAAAACCCTATTTGGGACAAAAGGCATTGGCAGCAATCGAAATGTAGTCGACAAATATTGGAGGGAAATAATATTCTCCATACAGATTTCTTTCACAATTAAGAATATGGTATACCAACTATTTTTCTTTTTAATTTAGTAAGTATGTATAGAATCTAGAACAATCAAATCATCATCATCCAAAGATGACATATTTGCTAGGCTAGAAGTTCGAGACGAGACACAACTGGCAGGAGGTTGATTTGAAGTTTGAAAAGATTTTATTGCTTTTGCAGGTATTCTCTCTGTGCTATCTCGGCGCGAGAACGCACTGCGCAGATCGGCGCTGCTCACCAGTAAGCGAAAAACCTGCTTGCACTGTGTTCGTACACGATGTATAAGCCTAATTTTCTCTCCTTCAAAACAATTACACATTTATATTATGAAGTTTAACAGTTAATATGCAAAAGTCAGAAATGTTTCCGTCATCAAAGTTCATATTTCACTATCATTTATTTGAATTTGATTTTCC